AGGAGCGCAAATTGTCAAAGGGGCTGGGTAGGGAGGAAAAGTTCTAAATGCCATGTTTTTCTCTACAGATAATCACACTCCGTGTTTAAGTTATTATTAGGTTTGGATATTACTTTTTGCAGAGAGAAGAGCAGAATAACTCATGTTGTGGCCAAATAGTGGGAGTACACACACACACACACAGTGTCTTTCTTCTGCCACAAAAATCTAAGGATCCCTTGGGTCTACTAAAGGCTTCTGTCTCTAATTCATGGATTTCTATCCAGGATTTGGGGCATGATAGATTGTAGGCACTGATTCGAAGAGCAGACAGCTAAGCCTGCTGCTGACAGTGAACTTGGCCATGAAGCACATAGTATCAGGGAGATACATTAAATTTCAAAGTAGATGTGGCCCGTAGTCATGTGCTATGGGACACCTGAGTTGTAGTCTCAATCTCTTTGTGACCTTGGGCAAGTCACCACCTCCCTGATTCTCTGTTTCCTTTCCTGGTCTATAAAAGAAGGGAACTGATTAGATGAGCTTTGTCCAGTTCTAATGTATGTTCTTTCTGTTACAGGAAGTTCACTCTATCTGAAAGACACATGCAACCCTCAGTCTCTTTGAATAAAGAATTACTTTCCTTTAGTAAAACTCAAGTTCAAAACCCAAGAGATACCTGAAAAGACAAAATGTTGTGCTAGGAACTGAACCCTCTTTAAATAAAGGATGGGGCAGGGGAAAATAAACAATAACTTTCAACAGATGAGTCTGGCCTCCAGCTTAAGGATTTCTCCGGGTGTGTTCATAATGCCTGGCATGCAATGAAGTACCAACACTCTCAATACTGTCAGTTAAAAATATTTTTAAGACAGTTCTTTAAAAGCCTTCAAATGAGACATGACATTTCTGGCGAACAATAATATGAATAATGTGTATGAGAAAATTATTTTAAAGGTAGATATCTGATGTGAAAAGAAGCATTTTTATTCCAGTAAAATAATTCTTTGCATTACTGACACTTAAGGCAAATTTAAACACAAGTAGTGCCGAGTGTTCATAAGAGCTTTTTGCTTTCAATGTTATTTTTTTTCTGAATTTAAGGTTTTATTAATAATGAATGGTAACAGCAAACAATTATTGAGTGACAGGCACTTGTAATGATTTTACACATGTTCTCTTATTTAGCTGTCATGAGAACTATACCAGGTAGGTATTTCGGTTAGTCCTCTTTTACAGAATGATAAACTGAGGCTCAGAGAGGTTAAATAATGTTTAGTGTCGTTCAGTTTTTTAAACGGCACATTCAGCATCTGAACCTATACAGTTTGCTTCAAAACTTATATCTTAACCACATCCTACTTTTTTCTTTAAGCTGAAAACATTTTGCTGTGATGTTCATTTTATTTATTTAACAAGGATCTGTCATGGGCCAGGCACTCTAAGATGCTAGGAATGGAGCAGTGACAACCACATGCACAAAACTCCTTGTTTTGTCGTGAAGCTTACATTTTATTGGAGAAAGGCAGACATTAAACAAAGAGAAAAACAAATAAAATACTGGTCTGGCAGGTAGCATACATACTATGTAAAACACTAAAGCAGGGCTGGGAAATCAGGAGAACAGGAGCAGATTAGGAAATTTTTAAAAATAGGGCTTAAGTAATATTGTCACTTAGACTAAAGAGGCAAGAATCGTCTTTATGTATATAATCTCATCCATTACAAATGTAATGTTGGCCAAACTTCCTTTGGTAATTCTGACCTTCTCTGGTTATGCCCACTGCAAAATTCTGTTGTTTCTCACATTAAATATTTGCCCAGCAAGGTTCCTCCTCACTCTCTCAATGCAAGGTACAAAGAGTCCTTAGACATTTCACAGTTGTAAATATCTGGACCACTGTAAACTCCATGCCTTGTATTGCTTAAATGCAAAATTAATGGTCCCCAATACATTTTAATCACCATATTAAGTGTGTTCTCCTCTGAAAACATTACAGAACTTGTGAGGAGTCTTTCTTGGATTCCCCACCCTAAAGTTCTCCCTGGAGGTGACTAAATTCTCCTGCCCATGATGTGCAATAGCCCTTTAAGGAAAGACAAAGGAAAAAAAGATACAAGAGCCATCCTCTGAAACAGAGGTTTCTCTCCCCAGGACTCCCTCATTTCCTCCTCTGTGTGAGCAGGAAGCCAAGAATTTAGAATTTGACCAGAAAAAGAAGCAAGAACCAGTATTCTGCCAAAGGATGGGGCTGTTTCTGCTTCATTCATACAGTGGAGGAGGCTAATCACTGCTGGTTGTTTTCATTGAGAACTTTCCCCGTGGTGTAACCAGGAGCCCTTCCCTCCTGAGGAGTTGTCTCCATACAGCTCAGTTCCTGTATTCCAGTTCTGCCCGTGACTGTAATGGCACACACTTTCCATAGTGAGCTTCTTTTGAACCTACAGGGAAAGGACTCTGTCCCCAGTATCCCACCCAAGGGAAATTTTGTTCTATTATTAAATGACCTATAGGGAGAAACTTATTTGAATGAGCACCAATACTTGTAAGGTGGAAAACTGGCCTTGCTGTGTTGTTTTTACTGTTTTTGAAAGTGATTACAATAAAAAACACATCTTTCAAACCAATTCTAAAAATCTCTCAGATTCTGTGTAAAAAAAAAATTCTATGTAGCATGTATAGGACCAATTAGATATTCACCAATGTGTTAATAATAGGCGTCCCTGAGTGATTAAATTATTTATGATTTTATTATCCTTTCTTTTTTACATTTTTTATTTAGTATGTAATACTTATATAATTAGAAAATGGAATGTTACAATTTTTAAAACCTGTTTTCACAAGAGGCTTCAACTGTATTTGTAATGTTTCATCATATTTTTTAAATGTAGCAAAGAGGTCAGAATCCTAAGATAATAAAGAAGCTAGTCTATAATCTTCTATCTATTCATAATACTTTACAATGAATTTTAACTTAGTTTTCTCAGTCTTGTAGAACACAAAACATTGCATGTGAAAATATTAAGTTTCTCTCCCTTGAAAGCCCATTTAAAGGTAAGGTGTATATATACAGATCCAAATAAAAATTCAGAAATGTTTCCTTTGAGGAAAATGTACCAAATAAATTAGAATCTGAGTCAGCATCAGTCATTTGTTTGCTAAACATAACGCAGATGATAGCAATGAGATCACTTTTTACAAACAAACCAACAAAAATAGAAAAACCTGTTTACTGACTTCCCGGTTTAACAACCAGGAAAGTTGGGACATCCCCGGTGTTTTTCTCTTGGCAAGAGAATGTTAGCATGCTAACATTTGGCAAGCTGGCGGTTTTGACTCGGAAAAAACTTACAGGCACAGCAGTCATACAATATTTTCATTTCACAATATTGAGTTTCCTATATCATTTTTGGGTTTTGGTAAATTGTTGGATATTTATCCCCTGAAGTAAAAATATTTTATGTATGTATTTGGAGTATATTTCCAGGGAATTTTGTTTTGTTTTAGAAAATATTTTATAGGAGGGGGAAAAAAAGAGAAAGATTCAAGACACTATATATTACGGATATGGAAGCCAAAAATGTAAGAAGATCATTACAGGTAATATTTAAGGGAATGTTTTCTTAGATTTTTCTGCCTAATATCATTTTTTTCTATGATTTATCCCATTTATAAAATTTAGTTCTCTAGACAGTTAATGCCTTTCATTTTAAATAGATTCGTTTTTTTAAAAAGAATTATTTGTCTCATGTTGGGTCTAAGTGCTAACTATCCTAAATGTCGGGGTAAAAACAATATTCATAGGGCACTATTCTTTATGTATTGCACTCTCCTCTTGACATTTTGAAGGACTGTCCCAAAATACCTACCCTAGAATCATTAAGCCTAAAATAAATTTCCAAGAATGCCTTCCTGTGCCTTGGAAACGACTGGAAAACCTTGGGTAGGAAGACACCTCTGGGAATGAGATTGTAGGTGACAAAAGCCACTGGAAGTGGCCTGGGAAATTTCACTGAGAGATGACAGGGACCACTTTACAAAAGCAGACAATAGCTTGGACTAGAGAGATGCCCAGTTCTACATTATTTGTCACCTTTTGGGGAAAGGGAGAAGGGTTACGTCATAGGTACATGGTGAAAGAAGACCAAAAGTCTCTATCTGGGATCTCTATGCAGCAATGCTTGGAAGGGCGAGTGCATGTGTTCTTTATCAGCTTAACAGTTCAGATTCCAAGAGCACTTAGTTTTATTTATCATAATACAAACAGTGAAGTAAATGAAGCCTGCCTCTCGCCCTTGAATGGCTATGTTTTTTGCATCCCCACCCCACCAGCTCTTATGCCCCAAATTTCGGGGTGCCTCTGCAGGTGGCGCTGGGACACTCCTGAGGACTGACACTGAGACCTCGGCCTGCAGCCGCCACCACAGCACCGCAGGAGGCCGCAGGCCGCAGCTGAGCGCCATCTCCACCCCGCCCCTACTTGGCGGAGCTCATTAACAGGTGGAATCGCCCCCTGGGCGCCTGAAATCCCGCCTGCCTCCATAGAAACAAATCCTTCAGACGTAGAACACCATCTGGGCGGGCTCCCCCACCGGGCTTTCCATGAGCCCCGAGGGGAGGTCAGCGCTGCAGGGAGCCTCAGCACCCGGGACGCGACGGCGAGAGCACAGCACGTGACACCCCCACCCTTTGTGGGCCAGGCCTCGCAGTCCCAGCTTGGCCTGCTCCCCGCCAGGCCTCAACTCCTTGCAGGCCTTAAGGCACGTCGACTATTTTGCGAAGGGTCGATTCAGACTGGGCGAGAGGAAGCGACCTCCTGCACCCTCCCCAAGAGCCCAAATCCTATTGGACGCTTTATTTTCCAAGGAGGCACCAACAGTTGGGGGTGCCAGGGAATTAGGGGACCTGGCCCAGGAATTCCCAATCCCCGCAAGGCTGCCTTCCCTGCCCCCAGATTCCACTACCCTTCTGAGGGTACACGCCCCATCACCCTGAGCACAGGCCCCGCCGGGCGCTTTACCTGTTGGCCGCCAGCCGAGACGCAATGTAGCCGCCAGGAATCTGGGTGATGATGTAGCCCCAAAAGAAGGAACCGTGGATCATCCCCACGGTTTCCGGATCCCAGTTGAATTTGGCTTTCTATGAGAGTAGGAAATTTTTTTTTAAAAAAAATGAAAATTAACTTTAAAAAGGGTGGAGTGAGAGAAGATTCATTTTCAGTAGTTCTCCAGCCAAAGAGCCCTCGACCCCCGGGGACTCCTGCATCCCTGGTGGACGGGTGGCTCGATTTTCGTTTTCTAACAAAACAGAAACCATGCCTTCTTGCAGAGAGGGAATTTGGAAGCTTTCTTTTAACTGAACACCCGTGCTCATTTGAAACGGTATTGTGATTAATAGCAAAGCTGGGCTCCCTGGCTTTGCGCTCTGAACCCCATGTCCTCGGTGGATGAGGAATCCTCGGGGCTCCAGTTTGGGAAGTTCGCTCTCCCAAGGAAGAGAGTCCGTTAGCCGGCGGGGGTAGGGACACCTGGCTGGGTGCATTTAGCGTGTGCCCGCCAGTGCCGGCAGTAGTGGAATCGATTGGAGAACGGAATCCAATCCGGGAAATTCTGGGGAAGGAAATTTGGGAGTTTGGGAGGAGTTAGGAAGGAGGATGGTCCCAGCAAAACGGGGATGGGTGTGGGCCCGAATGAATTGGAATAGCCCTAGGAATTTGGGGAGTCACTGGGGAGGGAGGTGTTGCTCAGGGGTGGTCGTAAAAGCCTGGGAGGGTGTCCCTTAAGGTCCGGGCCTAACTCCGCCCTCGCCTGCCTGGGCCGCAGCTCCGAGTGAACCTCAACGTAAACTGGCACGAAATATCTGCATCGGATAGAGGAAAGAGCGCTTATTCCGCCTGAGGAACTGGGGCCTCCTTTTCTCCCTTTAAATGAAATTTTGAAACCAAGCACACTTTGCAGCACCGCCGGAATCCCCAGCACCGGTCAGCTCTCACCACTTCCCATACAAAGGGAGTGCTGAACTAACCCTCCCAACCCTCATCCCGCCTGGTTTATGGTCCCTCAGATCCCTAAACAGGATTTAGGGACCCCACTGGTTTCTGTGACCTTGACATTGGCCCTTCTCTTCCTAGGGCTGATCCAACATTGTAAGATTACGGGACTGGGTTCCAGAGACCCCCCAAGATAGGCTGCGTTGCAGGCCCTCTCCCTGCTGGCCAGGTTGGAGGCTCCTAAAGGTCCCTGGGAGGGAACTGCCAACGTGCACACAGTTGATTTGATTCGTTTTCCAGTTTTGTTTCATTTTCATTATTAAAAATGTTTGGCGGGGATTGAAGGAATTCGGCGTAAAATTATAAGAAAAATATTTGGATTTAGACTTAGCGGGCGTTACTAAGTCTCAACTTCTTGTGTGCAGTTACTCTTCTCAAAAACCTAGAGGGCTAAACACTATTTTCCACTTTGCCCGTGAAAAAAGGAAGGCCCAGAGGGCAGAAGCCACTTGCTTCAGGAGCAAAGAAGGGAAGGTGATGATGCTCCTAGAAGGGTCCATCCTAGAGGGGAGCTAAGAGCACCCAGGCTTCGCTCTTTCCGTGTGCGGGGCGGGGCGGGGGGACCGGGCTCAAACTGGCGAAGTGGCTTTGCGCAACCACAGGGCCGGCTGTTGCCCACCTCCTTGATGACCTTGCCCCCGCGGTGGATGGTGCTGTTGTTGACCATGTCCACGATGGCCACGCCCAGGTTGCAGCGGATGCCGAACGAGATGCAGAAGCCTAGGCCGCTCATGATGGCGATGATGTAGCGCCGTGGCAGGCCGAAGCACGTGCAGTCGCACAGCGGCGCCTTTTTCTCAGGCACTTCCAGCGGCTTCCCATCCTCCGTCAGCTCGATGGTCTCCCCGGCCTCCTGCTTCTTCTCCAGCACCCTGCGCGGCAGAGCGGGTGGGGGGCAGTTAGGCACCTGTTCCCAATTCCCAGGGCCGAGGGGAGGGGCGCTAACCCGCTCCCCCGCCCTCCAGGCTGAGGGTGCTCAGCTGACGCCGGCCCTCAGCACCTCCTGGGCCCTCCAGCCTCTGCCCGCGCCTTCCCCGCAGCAGCATCTCTTCACTCTAACACCTCTGGCCTCGGGCACCTGGTCCCCCTTCCCTCGGGATCCAGCCCCGACGCACTTCCATTCACATACACACGCCACTTGGGCCTAACTTTCTTGCGGGGTCTGCAGTTTGAGGGTTACCCCAAAGGCGCCTTCTGAGCAACTATGTCGACGCCTCCCAGCCGCAGTGCTTCACCCCGGCGGCGACAGGCTGTTTTATCCTGCTACCCAGCCGCCGACAGCCGCTCAGCGGCGGGTGGGACCACCGCGACCCCGCATCTGCCCTACCCAGGCGAGTGAAAGCTTTCCCAGACGAGGACGCCGGATCCCGCCCCTCGACTGAGCCCGGGCCTCCAGGGCCTTGGGCCTCTCCCGTCTAGCGCCCGCGCGGAGGTGGGGAACGCTCTCTCGGGGAGAGCCACGCTCTCTGCGACCCTTCCTCCAGCCCCAGGCTTCCATCCAATTCTACGTTTACTGTCCGGTTACACATCTTACTCCCCCTCCACCCTCATTACTCGAGTTTGAAACAAAGGCTTCCGCAACATATGGCCGACACCTAAGCTTCCTACTGCCAGAACATGAATAATTAATTATTCACAATCTTGCGTCATTACTATCTCGGTTACAAACACCGAAAAATGTCCTCGGCCCATTACCAAAGACTTGAAATGCCACTCCGAGGCATTCAAACGCGTCCCCAAATCGACTCTGGTAAGATGTTCCACACCCAGGTAGAAGGTCTCACATTTAGTTTTTGTTTTGTGTTTTTTAATTAGCATAGTGATTTCACAAAATTTCACCTGTCTGATTTCTTTCAGGCTTTTGTCCTTGGGGGAGGGGGTAGAGGAACGCGGAGCGATAGAGAGATTTTATTAAAAGGCGATAGTGTTCTAATCCACAATATAACCCTGAAATTTCCGTTTAAAAAAAGAAGACGAATGTGAATGGTAACAATACCGTGGACCCTGGAGATGAATACTTTCAATATTTAAACAAAGAACCTCTCTGTTTACAATTTGCAGATGCTTTCAATCTATCCCATAATTGATTTCTAGGTGTGCCCTTTTAAATGATATATCCAAACACAGTTGTTTTCATACACACGGATAAAGCAAATGAAATTCTAAGATCAAATCCAAGAATGTATAGCTTGGGAGACGGGTGTCAAGCAATTTGAGGCTACCAGGAAAAAAAAAGTCAGACTTCCAAATTCTACAGAATCACACCTGAGAATAGGTCACAAAAGATATTTGCGGCTCTTTTAATGCTTATTCCTAACGTCTAATCCCAATTGTTAAACATAGGGCAATATATACTGGGAGAGAAAAATTCAACTAATGAGATATTGTTATTATTATTTACATCGGCTTTATATACTCATAGTACAAAGTTGAACTCTGCACCTGAACTCCCACCTGATGGTAGTTGGGCTGGGAAAGAACAGCTCTTTCCAGGGCAGCTGCGGGAGGACTGCAGGGCCCTTGCGGTATCTACTGCCGCATAGGTACATGATGGAGCCTGCAGGAAGCCCACCAGAACCAAAGAGATCTGGACAATTGGGAGGCACATTGGTCATTTTCTTTACATTTCCTATACATTTCCAAAGGCTTCAATTTCCCCAAATGTGAAAAGTAGCACTCTCTTGGAATCGTTTATTCTTTTGTTTCTGCCCTCTCTTCTTGATTTTGCTCATATTATTAAGAAAAGGTGTATTCATACAATATCTTAAGAGGATTTAAAGTTGTGAAATTTACAGCATAATTAGTAAATGACTATAAAGAGGATTAAAAATTTAAAAATAATTTTCAGTACTTTAAAAGTCATTTTGCTGATTATTATTGTGGTTTTTCTTATAAGTACTGTGACCTTTCCCATGCAAGAAATAGACTTCTAGGAAAGGTCAAATAATAAAAAAAAATACATATATATTGTTTGGGGTTCAGAGAGGAAAACTGCTTCAGCTATCAATTATTGATATATTTTTATTCTTATTCCTTCTTTACAGAGGGATGATTCCACTGGGGAATTCAAGACTCAAGTGGTTTTGGAGCTAAGATCCAAATTTCTTTTTGCCATTACTGTTTGGAATTTCTTAATTGTTAAAGGTGTTATATTTTTTAAAAATACAGTTGTCTGCATCAAAGGAATTTAATTTGGTGTCACTATAAACGCCCCCCAAAAAGATTCTTTGAACAGGTACTGGTCATTTTTCAATTGTAAGAGGATAAATCCTGGGTAGGAAAGGATGAGAATCTGCAGGTACCAAACCAAAAATCACACACACATACACAAAGCAGACAGGTTCATTTAGAGCAACATTCCTGAATAAATAAGCAGGTTTCCAGAGCAGCCCCGATCCAGCAGTGAGCAAGAAAAAAGACTTTCCGATCATATTACAAGCTCTCTAAGCAACCAGGGTTTTCGGAAATAGCCCTGCAGATTTTTTTCATGCTGAGCCCCAGGCAAATATGGGTTTGCTTTCTCTTACCTGTAGATCTGGCCGAGAGATTTTCCAGCAAAATTCTTTAGCCCCTCTTTTCCTGGGGTTAAAACCCTTTGTTTTACGGACTCCATTCTTGCAAAGACTGGTGTCGGGCTCTTGCCAGATTTAAATAGTGATCGCTATAGAAGTCCAGAGTTGCGCATATTGTCTTAACCCCTTAAGGTAGTTGTGGGCTTTTTCTTCTCAGCAGAATGGTACTGATGTGCCTCCAGCAAGAGTGCGAGCGAGAGAGGGGAGGGAGAGTGAGAACAGAATACAACGGAATAGCTGCATGCAACCCACGGGTTTCCTAATAGGAGAGTTGGTAGGCACAATCAGAAAGTCTCATTGGAAGGGGAGGTTCCGGTGGCAAAGGGCGCACGCAGTGCCATGGTATTTGGGCGGGTGCCGATGAGTCCTTGTCCTGGAAGTCAGTCCACTGGAAAAAAAAAAAAAAATTAAATTCCCGGTATTGAAAGCCTTATTGCTGTCAAAGCTTCTGGCTTTCAAACGGAAGGGTGGAAATATCACAGAACCCTTGAGTAAGGACAAAGGCAAAATAATAGTACTTTTAAAAAATGTGTGTATTTGCTGTAAGGAGCAGAGCACTTCCAAAACTCATGGGAGCATCTGAGGTCTCAGGTGAGCAATGCTGCTATTAGTTTTTTCTCCTTGCCTATGATCTCCTCCCATCACGCCGGCGCAACTCTGCTCTGCGGTAGAGTGAATTAAGATGGAGAAAGCTTGCTGGTCTTTGAGGACGTGAGTAAATAACAGATACACTGTTCTGATTTGGGCAGCTTCAGGGAAGATTTTTTCAGTACCGCTGACAGCGCTGTCTGGGCGCATCTCAGCAGAATGGTTCAGCACCATGGACAGAGCACGTTTCAGGAAATGGGGAAGCTTTTTTTTTTGGCTGACCAGATTGCCAACTTTCTAGGGGAGTTGGGCGGATTGCCCTGACCAAGAACCCTTCTGGGGAACCTTCATAAATGAATGCTATTGAGACCAAGTGGGAAGATGTCATCATCTCCAGAGTCTGCAGAAAGAATGGTGCATTTGGCTCTGCAAAGAAGGAAGACTTTATTAAAAATTGACAAGTTACTTCTAGTCTACAGTTTTCCCAGCACACAAAATCTGTTTGTTGCAAGAAAGGAAGGTTCAAGATATTTTACATATGTTTTTGGTATTCTGGGGCACCTGGGCTCCCTTGTATATAAAATATATGTACGAAAATTGCATAATTGTATTGTTCATGTATTTTATTTTAACCTCTGATAGGAAGGGAGGAAAAAAGGAAGGAAGGAAGAAAGGAAGGAAGGAAGGAAGGAAGGAAGGAAGGAAGGAAGGAAGGAAGGAAGGAAGGAAGAAGGGAGGGAGGGAAGGAAGGAGGGAAGGAGGGATGGAGGGAGGGAAGGAAGGAGGGAGGGAGGGAAGGAAGGAGGGAAGGAGGGATGGAAGGAAGGAAGGAAGGAAGGACGGAAGGAGGGAGGGAGGGAAGGAGGAAGGAGGGAAGGAAGGGAGGGAGGAAGGAAAGAAGTAAAGAAGGAAGGAGGGAGGGAGGGAGGGAGGGAGGGAGGGAAGGAAGGAAGAAAGGAAGGGGGTAAAGGGAGAGAGAAAGGAGAGAAAGGGAAAGAAGGGAAAGAGAAAGAAAAAAATATCTGCAACTCCAGTGTCCTTGGTTAAATGAAAGACAGGTAGTTTAATATATAACCCTTGGAATTTTATGATTCTTTACTTAACAAATTCACAGTACACTACTGAAATATCAATATACTCATGAAATTTGTGGTCATACATTGTGCCTGTCAATAAATAATTACTAAGAATATTTTCAAAATTTACTTTAAATTACTTATATTCCTTTAAAATGTGATTTTTATATTCTTTTATCCTAAAGGAGGATTATATTCATGTTAATACTTTTGTTTTCACATATATAGGTATAGCATCAATGAATGTATTTCATTAAGTAAAGCAAGAAGACTCTGCTAGCTTAATGTTAATTACTAATGCATTTTACATGACTCACAATTCTCTTAGATGCAACTCAGGCAAATGAACAAAACAGTTTGCCCTTGAACCATATTCTCAAGGTTGAAATCTTTGGATTTTATTTAAACCAACAGGGGGAGTAGATTTTTCTTAGGAATCCTGGGACCAAATCTCAGAAGTATGAATCTAAATACGGAATCATGGAAGAATGTTCCCTGAATAGGCCAAATAATACAATGGAGATTTTATATATATATATATATATATATATATATATATATATATATATACACACACACACACACATATATACATATATATGTGTACACACACACACACATATATATATATACACACATATACATATATGTGTACACACACATACACTTACAGAATGGATAGCTGAAAAGAGTTGTTAAAAGTAACTAATACCGTCTACTATTGTTAAATTTGATAGTTATCATATAAATGTGAATTAAAGTATATCTTCTATAAAACAATGAAATATATTTCTAAAGCTCTGGAATGCCTCAAAATAATATCTCTCCCCAAAGGTGATCAAGCACAAGAAGAAAACAACAACAACAACAACAACAAACCCAACACATTAAACTACCTTCTTCCAAACAAAAGATTCAAGCTAGTCGGGATGTGGCTCATCTAGGTACTTTTCAAAATATCTGTTTTTCAAATGTTTAGTGACAAAATTTATTACATGTAATTTAGGAATACCTATGATTTTGAAATTCTGGAAAGTTGTGCAAAAAATAGAAGTTAAATATCTGTGAAGTTTGGATGATGATATAAAAATGATTCTTCTAAGCACTCCTGTTTAAGGTTTACCACAAATGTCTAACAATCTAAGCCATCTAATTATTAAGTATGCACTATATATATCTGAGGGGGCATCAAGCAATACAAATCCAACATAAAAGCATTGTTTCTAGAGTCAAATATTACATTCACCTTTATTGAAATGAATGTCATTTGTATCTCTCCTGCATTCTCTTAATAACAGGGTGGGGTGGGTGAATAAGAATACTGCGAATATTGATTTACTCACTCTAAAAATATTCATTTAGTGTCTAGAATTCCACTAGATTCTGGGAATGTCCCCTGAAAAATCTCACAAGCCACATGGGAAACAGACATAAATACAATTACAAATAATTGCAGATAAAATCGAACAAGTAATCCAGCCTGAGAGTGAACATATACAGACAGAAAAGATTTTAGGAGGTGATTTTTTTTTTTTTTGTCTGTCTTAAGCAAAACAGCCCTAGGAAGAGGATGGCAGCCTAGTGGAACTGAGTGGAGACAGGTAATGGTACGCGGAAAGCATCCCAGCCAGAGGGGACATCTTGAGCACAGTCATAAACAAATGGAAAATGCCGTATGTGGAAAATTACAAGAATTGTTTCTAGGCCACCTGAGACCAAAGAATTCCATTTAGGCCATTCTTAAATTAATAGCTACTCCCAAAATAAGAGACATCTACTCAGACACTACTTACTAATCCAACAAATTTTCTTCGAGTGTGGTTCCAACATCCAAACACTGACCAGGTGCTTTTGTGACTTTAAGTCCACCAGATTTGTCTTTATGCAAGAAAATATTAGTAGTTATACATCTGGCATTAATTTAGTGATATTAAAAAAGTCTTTCATTCTCTGGACACTCTCCTGTCTCACCAGTATCTTCCATCCAATTTTAACAGTACCTTCAATTGAATTATTAGACACCTCTTCCTATAGGAGAATTATCCCCTCCTACCAAGCATTCTTAAAAATAAAAGGTTTCATTGACTATAACTGATGTGTGTGGCATATTGCAGTTTACAAATGACTTTCACTTACATGATTTCATTTATTCCTTATAATTATTCTTTGAAATAAACTAGTTTTATTCCCATTTTATTGCGAAGGAAAATGAGATTTAATGAATTGCCTGAAGTTATGCAACCAGCGATGAAGAAGCAGCTTGTGTTACGAGTAGTTTGTCACCATTTAAGATCTGGTTAAAATACAGATTCTAACTCTTTGGGTCTACAGTGGAGCCCAAGATTCAGCAATTCAAATAAGTTTCCAGAGCTGCTTGCCCATAGATCACACTTTGAATATCAGCAGTGTAGAGCGTGAAATGTAAAAAATCAGCTGACCTGGATTTGGGTCTTGACTTTGCTGGTTATCATCCCTATAACTTTGAATCAATCACTTAGCTTTAATAAACTTCAGTTTTCTAATTTGTGCAAATGAATGCTTGTAGTAAGTAATCTCTATCATGACTTCCACTTATAAAATTCTATGACTTTTTTATTAATCTATTCACTAACGTAATACCATGTTTCTTTGTTTCTTTGACTCTGAGGTTTTATTATGTATATAATCTGAGTATTAATAATAAACTGAGAAAAATGCCAATTATATAAGAAATGTGCTTCTTTTTCAAAGTTCTATCTTATATAGTTAGAGGAGAATAAAATTGTTTGTTTTACTATTAGTAGATTTTAAGATTTATATGCAATTGTTTAAATAATTTCTTTATAGTATTCTTTAAAGTTCACATAAGATATTACCTAATAGCACTGTGATGGGTTTTCATTTGTTTATGTCTTTGTGTGAGGAAATACTTTTGAGAGATCATTTAAATGTCTTGCTAATGTTGCCCTCTGGTGGAAAGATATGTTATTATTTTAGAAACAATCGTCCTTAATTACATAATTAAAACTACTGAACTGTTTTCTTCTTTTTCTCCTCCTCATCCTCTTTTTTTTTTTATACTTTCCTTCTCCTTTTTGATACCTGTTAAATTAAAATTTATAGCTAAAAATATAAAGTATTGTTGTGAGCAATATATTTGCTATTACCTGACCAAGTACTAAATGTCATTTAGATTAAACTTCTTTTATGAGAATCTCTCAATTAACCAAAGAGTTAGTATAAGAAACTTTACTCCATTAAGATTTAGAAATGGCATAGTAATCACATGAGAAAATGAGTTAAAGTTTTCTAATCATAATAGAGTGAGTTGTGATAATTTTATGACTATTTAAAAATTATAATTTGTTTGAAAGTTTTCTTTTCTGTCACTGAGTGTATGTATATACATATATAAGGCATTATATTTAGTGCTATTTATAAATATTGCTAAGGTGTTTTTCAGGAAAATTTATTTTAAAAATATTTCAAGGTGGTTAATTCTGAGGCTGTTTTAAATGCAATGTTTTCTATTTATTATTTCAACAAATATTCACTCAAGAGACATTTGCATCTATTGTGAATTTGGTTCTTTTCAGAGGTACAGTAAACCAATTAACTCAGCAGAGTCTTATAGCTTTTTATAATAAATGTAGAGAGTGCACATTCCTAGAGAGAAAACTGCTTTGAAAAACTTTTAAACAACATGGCTTCATTTGAGTTT